GAAAGCATCGTGACATGCGAAGCTCGATCAACACGAAATAGTTCAGTTCAATTTTTAAAGCCATTAACCAAGCACTTTCGTGTGCCGGTTTGGTAGCTGTCTTTTGGTGCCCCATTTGAATAAAAGAGCAAAATGAAGATTAGAATGTTGAAAGCAAATTCAAGCGGAAGATGAAGAATTGATATAGAGTGATGTTAGGAAAATAATGAGTGGATGCATGAGCTCCACTATTCGCTACACCCAGCTATATCACTCAGGGTCTCTAACCATCGGTGACCATCATCTTGGGGTCCTCAGCCAGGACCTCAAACCAATAGCGAAGTGTACAAAGTAACAGTTCACTGGGTAGAAGAACAATCAACATTAGATTATGTGGCCGAACAACCGAGAAAAAAGTCCTTTTAATGAAATATCACACGAGACAGGAGAAAAGCATCGAACGTGAGACGAAATTCGGTCAAAATATACGGACTTCAGATTCGACACACGTTCCCATATGTATTTTATCATGCTCTCTGTCAGAATAATTTCAGGGCCATAACACAGACGTCTCGAGGCGAAAGACGCCAAATAAACTTGACATACGCTTGCCGACACATTGACCAAAGTTGTTACTGCAGAATATCTACAGCTAAACAACTCAGCGCGTTCGAATGGATGGTAGGATCAACCAGTACTTGCTACAACATTCCAAATTTTCAAAGGTTTATATCGAAAACATTTCCATCCCATCCACGCGCTCCAATTCGGAAAAAAATTTCAGTTACGCAAGTACAAAATCTGACACCTCCGATATTCCTTAACCTGCTCATGTTTCAACAGTTATAACTGTATTTTTGTTAACCCATCAACTGCAGTGAGCCAGATGAGATTAGCCAATTGTGTTATTCACTTTTTTATATTTATAATTAACACAATCGCTGAATACACGCGCTATGATCATGCTCAGGTCACTCAAAAAGGTTTTCAAATAGCGAAATATAATCTTTTATTGAACAAGAACACACACTGTACGGGAGTATGTTTTTCCAAGGTATTCATTCTCAAAGATGTACAATCGCGCTTAATTCAAAGGAAATTCATTTAATCAGAAAGGAGCATGGGTTATATGTGTAGTAATGGGCTAAAATTACTTCCAGATTGGTACATTTGACATTTGATGAAACTTAAGGGATTTGGATAAAGAATCAGACAAACGCGCCAAACTGAAGCGACTTTCAAAGGACCACAACACACAGCACCTATTCCCAATTCTGTTTTACCCGACTGAATTTATTTTCGCATATCTGCAATTGTGCAGGATTTATTTGCCACACAAAACCCTCTGTAATAACCGGCAAAATGCAGTGGACTGCTATTTTGACCTTATCGCTACTAGTCAGCAGCCATAACCCATACACGTTACCTGTAAAAATCACATCCGTAGGAGATAACCAAATATGCTCCAAAGAATGAACTTGACGTCACTATATTTGCACAGGATCAGAGCGGTTTCTAAGAGAGTATTGATCAAAATGTTTCACGTGCAGGGGGAAGAGGTCACATGGAAGCGCATCAGTGTTTGTGCTGAGCTGGAGTGAAAAAGATTGTTAAGCTCAAAACTAGCCTCAGCTATTCGTTTAAAATGAGCATAATTGCATTGTACTTTGTTGTATTGCATTCTGTACAACCTTTTCAAGCTCTGAAGCTTACACTGCAATCCATCATAGACTACATATCAACGAGGGAAAGGTGTTTACAGGTTAAGAAAAAGTCCACTTGTTGCTCTCTGTGTTCTGTTGTTGTGAGTAAACGTGCAAGGGACGGTATAGGTGAATTTCGTAAGCGTTTATACGAGATGATGAGTTGTTCCGATACCACTTTCATCGACAGCGTCCGATCAATGGAACTAAAGTCTACTTGATCGCCTGATTGTTCCTTTGAAAACAGCCCAACCGATCTGTGTGTGTGCTAGTTGTGGTACCACAGGCCCTGTAGAAATTACCACCATACTTGATTCATCCACGACTGATTGTCTAGTGCAATATATTAGGATGTGTGCAGGATGTTCATTCCGCAATTTGTGGATACCGGAGTTAGTGTTTTAGTTGACGGCTTTTTTGCTTCACACTTCATCACAAAATTGAATTCTTTCCGTTTAGACAACGCTTCATTTCCTCGACTTTGTATTGAATAGGAATAACCTTGTGTGGGCAAATTGATATATACAGGCTTCTAGAGGTCACATAGTCTGACCCTGAGTAAAAATATCAAGCACTGTAATAACCAGCGAAAGTTTGGTTAAGTTACAAGAATGATCCACGATACCTTTTCCCATCATTTTTTAGCCAAAACCGGCAGTCCTCTACCCTCGACACACAATCCTTTAGCCGAAACCCGCAATGCTTTAGCCACGACCCGTAGTCGCAGACGCACCACCTTCAGTCACACGGCTGTAGGCGAACCAGGTAAAAACAAAACCCGAATATTCTGAGGTTGACGCATTTTGAAACATTTTATTTTCCACAAATTCTGATTTTACAAAGCTTGTTTAAGAAAGGAGAAGGTGTGGCGGCCGAACGCTGCACCATATGTTGATTGGAGAAGGTTTAAATGACGTGCTTGTATCGTCAGACTAAGGATAATGAACACCGTTCACAAAAGAAATCCCCTTAGCGCACCTTTTCCCGTCAAGCCTTGGACGAAACCCGTAATTCTTGAGCTTCGACCGTGGTAATTCTGTAAAATGCTGCAGCGATAATAAACTGGTGATAATAATGGGGTTGTATTCTGTTGAACGGTGTTTGTTATCCTCGGCATACTAATCTATCCACACCTGAAGAACACAGTTCACTTTAAGTAAAGATACGGAACAATAAGCATTTACTTTTTTGTGGTATCAATTTTTAATTTATTTCAGGGCTTATGAATGCCGTACAATGTATCGTTTCTGTTACGACGTTTAACAGCGCCGTATCTTTTTTCTCAATCAAACTGCATCAACAACATTTGTAAAAAAAATATTTTTCACCATTCATTGATATCAGAGTATAGTTCAATACTTTTTGATCTGATTCGCCTACAGTCGTGTGACTCAAGTTTGTGCGCGAGGCTAAAGGATCATGAGTAGTGGCCAAAGGACTGCGGGTTTTGACTAAAAGCGTAAAGGGGAAAAGGGTAATAGTATGGGGGCACTACTACTACTACTACTACTAATGCGTTCGCGCTTCAATGCATAAATTGGTTCAAAATAGTTTTATCAGTTTGACGCCTCGTCACACACACAAAAACTGACGAGATGGAGCGAGTGAATACAAAACAAACTCTGCTATGCCCGCAATGATAACTTTTTTAGTGATATGCTCGACTAGTAGCAATCACCTAAACCACGACAAAAACAACTACAACATCGAAGATTACGAGTTGTCTGTTTGATAGGCTAATAACTGACCCCGGAAATGTATTCTTCTCTTTCTCTCGGTTGCACGGTGCCACAAGTGAAACATTTCTCTCATAACGGCAAACACATTCCATAACTGTTTGTTTATCTCACCTGTTGCGTCTGAATAGTGTGTTCCTTGATTAGACGTTCACAGTCCGCTC